ACCCAGAACTTTCCTCCAAACTACAGATTCGGGTATCAAAGAATGTCCATGAGAATTCTCTACTTGAACTTTTAACGGGCACTCAAATTTAACTTCTAAAACCAAGATCTTTTCTTTTTTCGACTGCACTGGGTCTTTGTTGCGGCATTCGGGGTCTTCACTGCCATGCACGTTGCCTTGCTGCACACAGGCTTAGCTGCTCCAAGATATGTGGATCTTAGTTCCCTGACCATGGATGAAACCCACGTCCCTTGCACTGGAAGGCAGATTCATAACCGCTGGAGAGTGTGTGTGTGTGTGTGTGTGTGTGTGCAGGCGCACACTTGGTTGCTTAGTTGCCCCATGGACTGTAGCCCAACAGGCCCCTCTGCCCATGGAATGTTCCAGGCAAGAATACTGGAGTGGGGCAATATTAATTAGCCTCCAACTAATAAAAATAAATGGAAAAAAAAAAAAAAGCTGTTAGAAGCCTGAGCCAAAAAAAAAAAAAATAAAAATAAAATAAAACAGGCTGCCCACTCAAGCAGGACCACGTGGATGTTCCCGGGGGACTGACCTGAGTTCAACAGTTTACAGCATCTCATGATTTGCTCAGACAAGATTCCCTCCTACCATATCAGGCCTGCTTTTAACTGTCCCCCTAATGACACCATGTATTGGTAATTCCTAAATTTAGGCCTTTGAAAGTTCTGTTTGTACCTCAATTAACCTGGAGCCCCAGAAAAAAAAAAAAAAAAGAATACTGGAGTGGGGCAGTAAGAGAAGCCACTTTAATAAGAAGCCCTCACAATACAAGGAAGAGTAGCCAATGCTGGTCACAACTAGACAAAAGGCCCTCACAGCAATGAAGACCCATTACAGTCAAAAATTTAAAAATTATATATATATAAAGAATACTGAAGTGGGGTGCCACTTCCTATTCCAGGGGATCTTCCTGACCCAGGGACTGGGTCTAAGTCTCCTGTATTGGTACCACGGCTCCTGCAATAGTAAGTGAATTCTTTACCACTAGTGCCACCTGGGAAACCCAACAAGTCCCTAAAACTAAGATCCTGCTCCCCCACTTTATAGAAATCTGCTTTACTTACAGTCCTTCCAATTTCAGTAAACCAGCATCTCCATTCACCCAGCTTCTCCCACCAAAAATCTTGATCACCCTTGATTCCTCTTTCCCAACCTACACCCCACCCAACAGCTTATCTGGCTGTTCTTCCTTCAAAACCTATCCCAAACCTGATACCTTCCATTACTTCCATTATGGCTGCCCTACTCTGAGGGGCCATTATTGGTCACTTTGACAGTTGTATAAGCCTCTCTCTCCCATCCCCTCCCAACTCCAGCAGTAAAATCTCAGCCCTGCCTCTGACTAGAACCTTAAGGAAGCGGCTTAAGTGCATTCAAGTGTTAAATCCTCATCACAAACCTATTTGTTTGAGGTTGAGACTTGAGTCCACCATAGAGATGAAGAAATTATGGTGTGGGAGGTGAGCCAGCTCGCCCAGAGTTACATCATCAAGAGCAGCAGAGACAGAATGGGACGCAATCTTATCAAAGCCAGTGAGTTCTCGCTCTCTCTTTTCTCTCCTATGACTCAATTAGGCCTGGAAGTAATGAGTTAACTTTTCCTGATATTACTGGGCCAAATCACCAAGACCAGGGTTAGTGTTTCTCAGCCTGGGCACTAATGACATTTTGGGTCAGATCAATCTTTGTGGGGCACACACTGTCTCAAGCACTAGCAGCACCCTTCCCCATATACCAACTCACCCAAGTTGTAAAAAAAATAAAAGAAAAAGTCTCTAAACACTGCTGAAAGTCTTCTTGAGGGGGGAGGTTGGGGAGAAAACAGCATCCCGGTGGTTCAGGACCTAGACTGATTACTCCCTCCCCCAAGCATAATGGGCAGAACTTACCTATCCCACGCTGACCTATCCTTCTGTCACCCGAATTTGTTAAATATTTAATATTACGAGAAATCATTCATCAGATCTTGAAAATACAACATATTTGAAGCTGCCAACGTTGTCATGGAAACACTATGTGGTGACTTATAGCAGCAAGTATGCTCATTTAACGTCAACTGAGCACTGACTTTATGCCAGACGAAGTGCCATTTATCTACGTTACCTCATGCAAAGTTTCCATCCCTCTTAGGAGACAGCATTATCCTGACCCTTATATTTCTGGAAACTGAGGCACCAAGAGGTGAGTCACTGACCCAGTGTCACGGGGCAAGTGAGCGACAGCGTTGGAATGCAAACCTGGGTCTCTCCCCTTTGTGGTCCACTCTGGACTCTTCCTCTCTTACTCACGCACTGTCTTCTCCCCGGAATTAAGGTCCTCTCTGACCGCTCTCCCTCCCCCGTGCGTCCCAGGTCTTGCCTCTGAATCCATCCAGGGAGACGCCGATCCGCGATGCAGGGCATCCCTAGGCTTCCCACCCGCCTTACCCGCTTCTCCTGCATCTTCTCGAATGCCGCTTGGGCCGGTGTCCGCTTGTCCAGTCCGCGCCGCTTCTCCTCCTCGTTCTTTTTGCTAGTTCCCATCGCTTCCAGGAGTTTCGCCTTGTCTTTGTCTTTCTTTTTCTTCTTCCTAGAAGATGAGACGGGTACGAAGGGTGGATAACGGCGCGTCAGAGGGCAACGCCCGGAGGTCTCAGGGAGAGGCTTAAAGAAGAGAATACAGGGTCTCCTGGGATCTCAGGACTTACCGCTTAGTCACTCCGAGCTCTGCGACGCCTTTCAGCTTCAGGGGCCCCCTTTGGACCTGCTCGTAGGCCTCCATGGCCTCCTGGAAAGTTCGGGGCGTAAAATGCCACACTTCCTGTTTTCTAGCCCCGCCCCCATTCCCGCCTCCCTTCGTTTTTATTGGTCATCTAGGCGGTGCGCATGCGGTCTTGGAACCTTGACTTAAGCCACACTTCCGGGTTCCGGGCCGCTGGCCGGGGGAGTCAAGCTCGACTCGGTCTCTGTGTCCTGTCTCCTGCCAGTATTGCCGACTTTGGCTCCCGCCCGCGATCTCCCCCGCCTTGGTCGCCTGGACCTGGGAAGCCAATTGAACACAGCCCGTATTTCCCAAAACCCAGCGTTTTCTTGGGGCTTCCCGGGTGGCTCAGAGTGTGAAGAATCCGCCTGCAATGCGAGAGATCTGGGTTCCATCCCTGGCTTGGGAAGATCCCGTGGAGGAGGGCATGGCAACCCACTCCAGTATTCTTGCCTGAAGAATCCCGATGGATAGAGGTGCCTGGTGGGCCACAGTCCTTGGGGTCGCAAAGAGTCGGACGTGACTGAGCGACTAAGCACAGCACTGCAACGTTTTCTTGAGTGGTTTGCGCGTATTTGGATGTTGTGTTCTCTGTCACTGCCATATATGAGCGTTCAATGGATAAACTAATTTTGTAACCGTATAAATAATCGTTAGTTTTTCAGGTAAATGAGGATAGTATGTGAAATACTTTTGTGGTATTTAAAATACTTTTTAAAATCGATTTAATTTGGGTCCAATTTATAGACAGTAAAATGCACCCATTTAAATTGTACCCTTTCACGAGTATTGTCACTTTTGTGTTGTTTTGTTGTTCAGTCACTAGGTCGTGTCTGACTCTGCCACCTCATGGACTGGAACATACCAGGCTTCTCTGTCTGCCGCTATCTCCCTGAGCTTGCCCAAACTCATATCCATGGAGCCTATGATGCCATCCAACTATCTCATCCTCTGTCGTCCCCTTCTCTTGCTTTCAATCTTTCCCTGCATCAGAGTCTTTTACAATGAGTCAGTTCTTTGCATGGAGAAGGCAATGGCAACCCACTCCAGTACTCTTGCCTGGGAAATCCCATGGACGGAGGAGCCTGGTAGGCTACAGTCCATGGGGTCGCAAAGAGTCAGACACAACTGAGCAACTCCTCTTTCATTTTTCACTTTAATGCACTAGAGAAGGAAATGGCAACCAACTCCAGTATTCTTGTCTGGAGAATCCCAGGGAAGGGAGCCTGGTGGGCTGCCATCTATGGGGTCGCACAGAGTCGGACACGACTGACATGACTTAGCAGCAGCAGCAGCAGCAGTTCTTTGCATTAGGTGGCCAAAGTATTGGAGTTTCAGCTTCAGCATCATTCCTTCAATGAGTACTCAGAGTTGATTTCCTTAAGCATTGACTGGTTTGATCTCCTTGCTGTGCAAAGGACTCTCAAGAGCCTTCTTCAGCACCACAATTCAAAAGCATCAATTCTTTGGCACAACTCACTAGCTTTAAATATGTTCACAGTGTTGTGCATCTATTTATTTTTTATCAGATTACAAAAGATACACAAACATTAATTGTGGAGTATGTAATTTAAAAAAATACAGAAAAACCCAAGAAGACAGTAGAAATCACACCCACCTAGGAAAAAAAAATGTTGCTGTGTTAATTTCTTTATTTCAATGTCTTATCTGTAATTTTAAAAAGTAAAAAGGGATCTTACTCTATGCTTGCATTCTCTTTGACTCTTTTCTCTACCAGAATATCATGACTACTTTTATGGATTTTTTTTCTTTTTTGTTTCCATGTACTGAGTTAAAATTTTTTATTGTTGAATTTTTAATACTGAGGAAAACAGGGAAGAAACTAAAATCTCCCATAATTTTCTGCTAACATTAAAAATAAATATACGTGTGTGCATGCGCCATGTAAGAAAACCATGCAGTACAGAAAAGGTTAAAAGAAAGAAAGAAAAAGGAAAACAAGAGTAGAAAAAACAAACAAAAGAGAAGAAACTTCCCATCTCCTTCCAAACTGATTAACACGTTCATTTTGATTCTTTGCAGCACAGAAATGTGTGTTGGTTGTTGTATAGTCACTAAGTCATGGCCGATTCTTTTCTACCACATGAACTGTAGCCCGCCAGGCTCCTCTATCCATAGGATTTCTGAGGCAAGAATACTGGAGTGGGTTGCCATTTCCTTCCCTCAGGGAACTTCCCGACCCAGGGATGGGACCCACATCTCACACACTGTGGATGGATACTTTACTGCTGAGCCACCTGGGAAACCTAGAAGTGTGTATATGCCTCTCTCTATATATATGTATATGTATATATCTGTGTGATGTTCTTTTATTTCTGTCTCTGATTTTTCATTTATCAAGTGTCTCGAAACTCTTCACAAGAAAGCAGGTACACCTCTACTCCACCTTTCTCAAAGCTGGATGTCTGGTGGCCGAGTGACGCCCTCCCCGTTGACCATCTACGTGCCCATGAATTTTACCTGATTTTGCAAGTGGCCTGAATCTGTAGCAGTGGAATTGCTGAGTCCAAGAGTATCTGTGTTTATGCATTTAAATTTGTACTTCTGTTGCCCAAACCGTGCCAGGGACTTTTTTGGGAGGGGATTAGCAGTGTGGAGAGGGAGAAAAAGTGAAAAGAAATAAGAAACAAGCTCCCTTATATATATGTATATGTATATATCTGTGTGATGTTCTTTTATTTCTGTCTCTGATTTTTCATTTATCAAGTGTTTCGAAACTTTCACAAGAAAGCAGGTACACCTCTACTCCACCTTTCTCAAAGCTGGATGTCTGGTGGCCGAGTGACGCCCTCCCCTTTGACCATCTACTTGCCCACAAATTTTACCTGACTTTTGCAAGTGGCCTGAATCTGTAGCAGTGGAATTGCTGAGTCCAAGAGTATCTGTGTTTATGCATTTAAATTTGTACTTCTGTTGCCCAAACCGTGCCAGGGACTTTTTTGGGAGGGGATTAGCAGTGTGGAGAGGGAGAAAAAGTGAAAAGAAATAAGAAACAAGCTCCCATGAATCTAGAGGGGGCCGGACAAAAGAGGGCAAGATGCCAGCCTTTTCCCGTTCTACCTGCAGGGGGCAGCAAACGACTGCCCAATTCTCCAGCCATAGGCTCAACCTTTGGCTAGCTGGAATTGACGAGATCGCCAAGGAAGGAACAGCTTTCCCATGCCAGCGGATGGGGGCAACCAGGTAGCACCAACTTCTCAGGGAGGGACAGGACAGACTCAGGTGGGAAGATCTGTCCTCCCCTAGGCAACCCAGCAGCTTAGGAGCTCCCTTTTTGTCACTTCCAAGGCTGTGTCCTGGAGCAAGTGGCCTGACTTCTCTGAACTTCTCTTCCCTCTTTTATAAAATGAGAATGATGATTACAACAACAACAGGTAGTACTTATATGAACTCATATGGGTAACCTCATTTATTCTCACAGTCACCCTTTTATGTAAATAATCCTCAGTTCAATTCAGTCGCTAAGTCGTGTCCAACTCTCTGCAACCCCATGGACTGCAGCGTGCCAGGCTTCCCTGTCATTCACCAACTCCGGGAGCTTGCTCAAACTCATGTCCATTGAGCCGGTGATGCCATTCAACCATCTCATCTCATCCTCTGTTGTCCCCTTCTCCTCCTGCCTTCAATCTTTCCCAGCATCAGGGTCTATTCCAATGAGTTAGTTCTTCACATCAGGTGGCCAAAGTATTGGAGTTTCAGCTTCAGCNTTTTCCAATGAGTTAGTTCTTCACATCAGGTGGCCAAAGTATTGGAGTTTCAGCTTCAGCATCAGTCCTTCCAATGAATATTCAGGACTGATTTCCTTTAGGATGGACTGGTTTGATCATCCTAATTATATATTAATAAAACCCTAACCTTAACCCTAATTTTAATTAACATCCTAATTTTATATTAATAGGTAGAGAAACTGAGGCACAAACGTAATCCAATGCATACTGAGTGTTCGACCCTTGTCACCCACTGTGAGGCCATCCTCTCAAATAAGAGGATTACTTTTATAAATCTTTTTATAAAGATTATGCATTATTTTATAAATCTTAGGAAAGTGTTTCTCAACCTTTACTCCCCATTATTACCTCCCAAAGAGACCATTTTAATTTAAAGAGAAAGTTAAATACTGATGAATTAAGATTTTGTCAGGGAGGTTTAAGATTTGGAGGGCCACTTTGTGGCCTATTGAAATATTTGTTTTCTTGTCCCCCACTCCCCCAAACCGATTTTCATCTTCTTGAGGGTAGTATTAACTTCACTGATAATTTGTGTTCTAAGGGGGTAAACGTGGCAAATAAACTGAGACAATGCTTTTGATCACTTAAAATTTTTATTTCATTTCTTTTAGTTTATATTTTATTTGGCTTTGTCTGGTCTCAGTTGTGTGGGATTTTTTGTTGTGGTGCATGGACTCTTCAGCTGTGGCAGGCTGGCTCAGTAGTTGCAGCTCATAGGCTCCAGGGCGTGTGTGTTTCAGCAGTTGTACTGCATGGGCCTGGTTGCTCTGAGGCCTGTGGGATTGTAGTTCTCCCACCAGGGATCAAACCCGAGTCCTCTGCATTGCAAGGCAGATTCTTAATGACTAGACCACCACCCCTTAATTTATATCCTCTTAAAGAGTCTCAAGATTTTCATCATATAGTGCTGCTTTGTCTACAAAGAAATACAATGAATCAGTTAAGGCTTCCTCAGCGTCTTCATCCTCAGAGCATATTCTTCAAAATCACTTTCCAACTTTTCCAGGTTGTCAGTGTCTTTGCTTTATCACATGACACCTCCGTCTGTGCTATCAAGGGCTCTTGTGAGGGGCATTTCTTTAAGACAATCTGCATTGTTTTCAAAGAACAGGGTTTGGAGAGGGGGGAAAAACATATGGTATGGTGGGAAAACATGGGGAATAGTGCCTTCCGAGCAAGACAGAGTTGTCGGTAATGTGGCACAGCCCTCAAGTAATCCCTGCTGGGACTTCCCTGGTGGTCCAGTGGTTAAGACGTCACCTCCCACTGCCAGGGATGCGGTTTCAATCCCTGATCGGAGAGCTAAGATCCCACGTGCCT